GAGTCTTACCTCATCCTTTCGGCTTTCGTGTCTCTTCCGTTCGGCCATGTGGTTGTATTGCGCGTTATTGCGCAAGAGGGCAAGCACATATAAAATGGTTATAATTCGCTCCGAGGGAGGTAGGCTGTCTTTTTCTATGTAGTGGAATCACTATGCACTGCCTCTCTATATAATAACTCTATGCTGCATGATTATGCTGTTAAACAGTCATACAGCAATTTAAGCCATGCCATAGAAATGTGCCAACAACATGTTTTTTTATAAATAATGAATTTTTATTATTATCCAAACTAAATCAGTAACTGATTAACACAATTCCATAGTGATACAGCTGAATTTCGATTTCGAATGAAGCTACTCGTAATTATGATAGTCGACTTCATCACAACATCTATAAACATGGAAAATAAAACTCCATTTCAGACACATTCAATTTTGTTACAAATCGCCATAACATGGGTTGCAGTTTGGGTAGTCTTCTTGGAGCTTATCTGTTACAGCTGCCTACACACATTGTGACCCTGGGAGATTCACCGCAAATGTCTCATGTGCGAATGTCTTCTCAGGTGTTCGATCCTCCAAACTTACCGTGGTGCAAGGAGCTAAATGTAGAAAATTCCTACTGCATTACGGTTTTCGTCTGTCGAGAATTTAGAGATCCATCATCTGGTTCATACATCCAAGTCACGCTCATATATGCCTGAGCAGCAATAGGTATGCAAGAGCAGGTGCAGGCTTGGCAGACCACACACCATGATAGCAAAGGTAACACTGATTTGAATTGCTACAGGAAACTATCGGAGTTACACAGCTCTCCACATTGCGATATTCGTCACTGGGATCTTCGGTTGTTGTTTCCTGGTCCGATAGGTACATTTTCTCGACTTTTCCTCAATTACCAGCAAATCCATCAACCACCCTGCTGGGATTAATTGTAAAAAGAACATTAATGACAGGCAAGCACATACATGCGGAATACATACCAGGCAGAAGAGGAAAGAGGTGCTGAGACCAAGACAAGATTGAAGGATGCGTGCCGAATACTTGAAGGAGAGAGGCATTGAATGACACACTAAGTGGGAGGATATGGAAAAATGGAAGTGAGAAGAGCTACTGCCTGCAACCTCACTTGAATAGGGACTAAATATGGTGAAGGAAAGAAGAAGAAGCACATACATTGGAGATATTAATTTTGAAATTTGCAAACTCAACAGATAGTTTATTTTTCCCACTTTACTATAACCGAGTACTGCAAAATGTCGAGATGTGCTACATCACGTTTCTTAAGAACTTATTTAAAAGAATACTAGAAAACTAATTAAAAGAAACTAGAGAACTAATTAAAAAAACAGAGGAACTAATTAAAAGCTATATATTAAACGCTAATTTATCAGCTAAAGCTAATTAACCTGACACAGCTCGACATCTTACCAATAACAACGTGTTGGCTTTCATCTAAGAAATCACATCTCGCACAGGCTACGAAAAATGGGCAGCCATTGGTGTCTTTTCCACTGTTTGCCTAGGAATTATAACATTTAGTGATACATAAAGAATAATCTATACATATATGAAGGTTATACAAGATAATGTTACTATTAAGATATACAAAATATGTAAGCATTAAAGTTACAAAACAATTTCAATCTACGTCCAATCTGTGTAAGGATAGCACAATAAAACAATCGGTAACAAATACCGGTAAATAAACACATACCAGAGATAGCAAAGCCTGGTGTCCACTAGCTTTAGTTTGAAATTTTCATCAGCCAAGTTAGCCTCCATAAACACTAAATACTCCGTGCCATCACCCTCGGAACATGAATTAAAAAATTATGCCGAGGTGGGTATTTTTTTTATTGTGTTATCATTTAAATTATAGCTAAGACAGACCCTTAAAAATTGAGTACATAGTCAAAGGAAATGATGTGCATGAAATAGATGTGTTATCATTCATATTTTTAAATATAAATACTTTACATTACAAAATCACCACCCTGTATCATGAAGTCTTTTGATTGACTTGTAAGACAATAAAGTCTTTTTATACAAGTCACAATCTATCTATAACACAAAACCTAGAGCAAGGAAGTATACTAATTTATATAATGAGAATAAATAAGTGTCTGAAAAGTTGTGATTTAATAACAAGATGAAGCTAATAAAATTACAATGCCAAAGGTTCACCCGCGACAGAATGACTAACTCCACAATTAAGACAAAAGAGCTCACCTAGAAATAGTTGTCCTTCTAGTATCCGTGGATAGCACACCATCGCCTTCTATACTGCCCCTAGCTCGCAACAAGTTGTCTAACAAATGCAAAAACAAACATTAACAGTTTTAGATGACTGGCTTGCCAACAGCTAAAGTTTTTAGCAACTGTTGGAATTTAGAATGATGTATTTCAATTCAGCCAAAATCTGCTTCACTGATATAATTACCGCCTGAATTTTCACTCATGCCATTTTAATAAGATAATACCTATTAAAATAAGGATTCAGAAAATAATCCACTTGACAAGAAAACACAAGAAATACGATTATCAGTAAAATACATATTTCAGAAGTACACATAACAGTCTTTAATAGGTGTCATCTATATTCAATATTTAGCTTACCTAACAATTTTCTGCTGACAAAGGTACAAGGTATCAGCCAATAAAAGTTCCCATCTTCATTCTTTCCAAATTTCCTAAATCAATAAATACCATTTATGATTTATACTCTAAGGTATTTACTTTAAAATTAACTCAGAGTTACTTCTTTACTTCACAACAAGGAAGCACTTCCATTTCTGCCAGGAAATTACGCCGGCGCCCCGCAGTTCTGTCAGAATCAAGTGGTCGTTACTAGGTAGATTAATATGTGGATGGGTTCGACAACTTACCTGACTAACTTTTTGCTGCCATCATAATGCAGCAGGATCCCCCCCCCCCATCACACACAGTCGCGCCACCATCAGGCACGCGACGCACGCACGGCTTGCCCAGCATGATACCATACTCTAGCTAGCCGTAACATTCAAACAATGGGTTGTTGGATCAACATTTTGAAGACATTTCATATAATATTCAGGTCGCAGTTTCCGGAACCCAATTAGTTAAAAAAATGGCCCTGGGTAGAATCCTTAAGCATTTTTCCACAATTCGGATGATGTTGGAAAGTGGCATTGTCTCGTACCAAAACCTTGCGAACTCGGCCACAGAGGGTCTCGAGATTGTTGCAGGTTGTGGCTGCTCCAAACTGCGGATTCCCTAGCTTCTGGGCTCGGACGCAATCTCGAAAGATTGCGCAAACTGAAACAGGTTGTGGTGATTCAACAATCGCCTCATAGGACTGTGCCCCTGTTGGTGTGCCGTGTGCAAACTAGGAAGAGATTTATCTCATATTAAATCTTAATCGCAATTTATTTATTATAATCATTAATATTTATACAAAGTGTCAACACATTTGAGGAAAGAAGCGTGAGTTACGACATTTATAGTTCATCCCTATTTGAAATCGCTAATAATCATACTGTTTGTGGAAGCTCTGTTTACCTCTGTTGGCCATCTAAGACTTCGGTTGCCCAAACTCGCAGATGCCCGCTCAAATTCCAGTGTTGATCAAAGCTCCAATTTGCGAGCCCACACACAAACAATCGCCACTTCCAACATATATCAGAATTGTGGAAAAAAAATGCTTAAGGTCATCACCTCCGCTGCAAGTTGCAGGAACACCCGCCGTCACTAGATTCGCAGCTGATCATGAAAACTGTGAGTTGGGCAAAAGTGCGCCGGCAAGATACCACTGGTTGTTGTGGCCGCCTGGCGGTGCTGGCCCAGCAGGGAGTGTGGTGTGGAGGAGCACTTTATCCCCCTTGCCACTGGCGTATTATTACACAAAACGCGGTACATAAAGGCTTTATTTTCCATTTCAACACTGTTCATTACTGAACAACACACCGATTGGTTAGGTTTAGAATATAGAAGCTGTCACATAAGGCCAGATAGTGGTCGTTTGTCGCTATCAGTACTACAGATATGCTAACCGTAGTAGTTTTAGGTTGCTTTCAGTATTATGTCTTATATTTTTATCATGAGGTACGTTTAGCTTATGTTAGGGTTAGGCTTAGCGCGCTCTAGCTCACACTTTCTGTAGTACAAGTCTGGCTACACTTGTGATACTACACTATATGTACTCGCGGCTACCATATCTGTAGTACTGATACGACAATGACCCTGAGCTACATTTACGATGTACCCCTACTATTTACTACCGAAATCTAAGCGTAGACCCTACGGGGTAGTACTCTTCTACTTCTTAGACTTATGACTATGGACTACGAATACCATTAATTATACAAACAACTCATGGACATCCGACCGCGCGACCGACCAGTGCGACAAGTATTGAAGACTCACTAATGTCGTAAGTATGACCAACTGACTAAGCATTGACATTGTTTGACATAATGAGTAATGAGTAATGTCATGACTAAGGCCTACATGAGTAATGTCAGAATGTCACGATGGACTAATGCTGACTATCAACACCGCCGCCAGGGTATGGTCCTCTGATACACGACTACAAAGCAGAACGACATTTTTTACAGAAAACTCACACACACACTGAGAGATTTCTGTGGCCGGAATCATCGGAGCCAATTCCTTAAGTGCGATGTCGTAGGCTGTTCTTCCGCTGGTAAATCACTAGTTAACACTTAACATATGGTAGTTCCAACTGTAACGTCGAAAAACACAACTCGGTTTTAAGATTGTTGTGGTACTCTTGTTCTCGCCACTGGATGTTTGTTTTGCAGTTGCGCGGAAAGCGGAAGCACGATGCGCACGGAACGCATGCGCTTCGTTCGTATTCGTATGCTCTGTTTATTTTGTCATAAGGTAGTGTGATTATGCATGACACGAAGTATTTGCTAGTCTAGTACTGGAGAAATTAGCGTTTGGATGCGCATTGTGCAGCTTTAACATAATGTATTTCTGCCTATCTCTATACATAGCATCAAAGGCAGTAGATATGCTTCTGGATTCCAAATGGGCAACTGGCAAAGGCAAAGAAGAATTATTATTTACGACACGACAGTCCTGCGTTGATTATCTTGACAGGTAAACTATATACAGCCTTTTCCTTTCATCCTTCTTTCTCGTTTGCCTTTGCAAACTGCAATAGCAGTAGTAACAGGCTACAGCTGTAACAGTTTTATGAGTGCTGCCCTAGCATGGCTTTCTTGACTTGGCATTTCTCTTTTCTGTCTACAATAGTATTTGGTTTACAGATTGCGAATCTTATCACAATTAATTGGTGCTGGTATCCTGCCAGTTGGTGTTTGTGTCAGTTGAGTATGCCCTTGGAAGCGTGTGAGGAATGTACTCTGTCCATTCTATTTTTAGACGTAATCATGAACACATGACTTCATGAGTGACATCCACGAATAGAATGTTTCGCTGATGTTACTATATAACGAGTAATATTTTTTAATGCTTTAGACTGTTAGCTGACATTTTCATGTTGATAGATATTAGCGACTGAGTGACTAATGATGATTAGCACAGGACTAAGCGATACCACTGCACTATTCAACACTGCTGTGTATTAATGGTTAGGCCATAATAAAAAAATTGGTTGTTTGCCCTCACCCGACTGACCCGCCAAAAAGGGGCCGACTCAAATTTTTTTAGTAATCTTTCCCATTCTTTTTTTTTTACAAATTGTATCACTGTACATTATATAAATATGTAGGAAATATATTATATTGAATTTGTAAAATAACCCTCCTCAAAAAAAAGAAAAAAAGCTTGCCTACCTACCCAAACTTTTCAGCCTGGGTCAGGTGAGAGCAAACAAAGATTTTTTAATTGTGGCCTTACTTGTTTATTACTGCTCTGTCTGCTGTTCGAACATTGCTAACTGTTGCTTGCTTTCTGGTCCAGGTTACTGCAGAAGCAGCTGTTCCACCGTGCTCACAAGGTTGTCAAAAGGAAACCCGGTGAGAGAGACGTGAAGAGGAAAAAGAAAGATGCAAAGGAAGAGGGCAAAAAGGACAAGGCCACCAAAGAAGATGAGGACGACACCAAGGAGACCATAGAGAAAGAGCGGCCAAAAGAGGAGAAAGAGAGCGAGGCAGAGAAAAAGGTATGAGTGTAGGACCTATGGTATAGAGTAGTGGTTCCCAACCTGAGGTCCCTGGACTCCTGGGGGTCTGTGAGCTAAGTTAAAAATTACAAGAGGCTCCAGCGTAAAATGTATAATTACTCACGATAAGGCTGCTAAGGATAAAATTTCAAATTTTCATGTTTTGTCATTCGTGGCTTACAGATTATCAACTCGGTATGACAACAGTAGTTGTGCCGGGTAGATGTTTTAGCTATAAAAAAAGACGGTTCAAAAACCTGGATGTCCATGGGAAAATTAATTTAAATAAAAGTGGTCTTTGATGCTGAAAAGGTTGGGAAGCACTGGTATAGAGGTTGTATGATGTGGAGCAAAACATGACGAAATTACTGTAACAGCCTAACCTTTTATGATGCAAACCTATATGAAATGAACGTCTGGTTTTCAGGATGGTGAAGGAACACCGAAGAAGAAGGAGAAGAAGAAAGTCAAGCTGGAGATGCATGACCAGCAGGTCTTTCTAGATGGCAAGGATGTGAGAGACCTTTCTTGACAAAATTTGATTTCTAGTAATACTTCCGAAGCAAAGTTCAATGCTTTACATTTTTCTCAATTTCAAACTTAGAACACAATTGTACATTAGGATGTTTAATTTGGTTGTATATGTTAATGTTTCTCTTTGAATATTAACTTCATGTGATTTAATTGATTCTGTGTGTTTTCTTGTCTCAGGTATACGTCTGGATATACGACCCGGTTCCGCCTAAAACATTTATCATGGGATTGCTTATAGGTATGCTTGCCCATGTTTTTTCAAATATTCTATATATATATATATATATATATATATATATATATTATTATTTATATAATAGGTGATACCACTGGCTGCAGAAACAAGTCTGCCTTACACAAGCTACTCATGTATAATAGCATTAACGTAGTAGTATAAACGTATAGTAGCAATAAGACAGTTGCATCACCTACAGGAATAATAGAGTTTGGTCTGATTGAAAATGACGAGGGCAGCATATATTACGATGTTATGTCTGTAATGTGTGTAGGGTAAACTTGGTCACGTAACCAGTGGTTTGTACACTAAATTATTTAGACCCAGCTCTAGCTGAATTACCTTGCTTGAAAAACATGTTCCCATAATCACTTCCCCCAAATTTTAAGACAAAGTTTGTTATGTTTCAGTGCTTGGTGCCATTGCTGTGTGCTTGTTCCCTCTGTGGCCACCCGAGGTCAGGCTGGGCGTTTACTATCTGAGCATCTTAGCAGCCAGTTTCGTTGGTTCCATCATTGCGTTGGCCATATGTAAGTCCTAACATTTAGCATGCTGCATAGGTGTAAACAGGAATGATGATAGCAAGCCAAAACTTGTTGTAGTAACCGGAATAATCTTTAATATCTCATCCAGTGTAGACATATCTCGACAATCGCACAAAGAGACAAAGAACGCGCATACGCGCGTGTGCCTCCTTCCGCGACCAGAACCAGAATCCCCTTCCTACATCTCTGTCCTATTTATTACCCCCCAAAACTCCTACAAACATACAGTACTGCCCGCACATGTAACCGTTCTCACAGACCGCCGTCCTACCCCCCATTTCACAATGACCCTCTAATCTGTCTAACCTAACCACATCTACCAAATTCTCTCTAATACATCAATGTAGCCGGGCATCTTGTTGTGCGACGCTCTGTCTAGCTAGACTATGGCTAAAACAACTACCAGTCTAGCTCCACTGACTAATCTATGTAACACGTGCAAAACACATGTTACATAGGTTGTATTGCGTTACGGGCTGCACAGCACACCGTTGCATCATCAGTAACGGTACTACATGTGTTAAAAACTTGATAACTTTACGCACGCTCTGCAGCAAAATGATGACACAGTCTCTTCGGTTTTATCTTGGCATTTACATCTACCGTGTCACAGCCTCAGACTCTAACCCCCCCCGCGTGTAGATTATTTGAGATTCGAGAGACGCGTGGTGTAACCGTGGCGACGTTTTCTCGTCCTCCCACAGTCCGCGTCGCTCTCTTCGGGTTCGTCTGGCTGGTGACGCTTGGACGCCACTACTTCTGGCTGTTCCCGAACCTCCTGGAGGATGTCGGATTCTTCGACTCCTTCAAGCCCTTCTACCACTACGAGTACAGACCGCCGGGCGCGGACAAACGCGAGGCGGTTATCGCCGGCGAGGAGAAGAGCGAGGAGGTGGCCGCACCGGTTGCCGCCGGCGACGACGACGACGATGAAGCAGAACGCGACGGCGGCGGTTCCGGGAGCGAGCGAGCGAGCGGCAGCGATAGACAGAGCGACGAAGACAGGCAGCATAGCGGGGAGGAGGACGGAGGCGGGAGGGATCAGGAGAACGGGTTCGAAGTGATAGACAAGGACGATTTCGATCAGTCTCAGACGGCGTCGGAGAGCGAGCCGTGACGCAGGGTTGGGCTGGGGGTGCGTATATCGGGGAAGTATTATTTTTTGACACTGGGGAACAATACTTATAAATTTGGTATGGAGTGTAATTACCTAGACTTTTATCTGTACCAGCAAGCTTATGCTTTGCATAAATTATGTTTCGCCTCTTTCGACGTATGGAGAAAGTATGTGATGTGTAATTTATCTGTACTAGAATAATATTTGTATGATATTTCGAAAAGGGAGAAGTGTTATCTAATGGGATTTAATTTCGGTGACAGGTCTCCAAATGCTGAACCAATTCTAACCAGTTAGTTGGTGAGCCAAAACAGTATAATGTAAATTTCATGTAAATGTATGCAAGCATATATATATATGGTTAGCAATGCTATTGTCTTATTTTAGTGACTGATATGTAACAGCAGTCTTGTTGCTATGTTATAAGTAGATTGTATCGGTTCTTCATTGTACTTATTTATCGAACACATAGGTTTATTGATACGATATGAAGTTGCATATATATTATATATATTCACTATATTATGACGTTAATTAATAAACAATGCTGCTTCACAAGATGCTTGTTTGATTATTATTATTATTATTATTATTATTATTATTATTATTATTATTATTATTATTATTATTATTAATGGTAGTAGTAGTAGGAGTCAGGCCTGTAGGCAGGTTTTTTTACGGGAGGGCGCGATCCAACGAGTTTCCGGACCTAACGAGCGCCGGGGCACCAGTCTCTAGGGGCGGGCGGGGACATCCCCCCCCCCCCGGAAATTTTGAAAATTAGGTTGTCTGAGACTGCATTTCAGCGCGTTTTTAAGGCAGTATGATATGAAAACAAGCAGCCAAAAGCGATCCTCAAAACGTGGACATTTTCTCAATTTTTTCTGCATAAAAGTGGACCTGCCGCAGCCTGTGTGTGTGTGTGGTGGGTGGGGGGGGGGCGGTACCCCTCACGGGCATGGGAGTTGTGGTATTTTGGTTATTATTGTTTATTTTTTCTGGTTCGTAGGTAATAATATAATACAGCCACGTGCTGAAATAGCAATTTACAATTATTATCAACTCTATTAAATTTCATTATACTCAGTTATTCAGATATAAGTACATCATGATCATGTACTGCACAGTAGCGTGCAGTCTTTCTTAGGGAAAAACGGATGAATGTAAAAATCAGAACGGAACGGAATAGTTTTTGGTTCTAATTTTATAAATAATATTCTATAGTATCAGGGCGGTGACACGATTATTATCAAACCGATACGAAATAAAAACATTTGTCCATTCCTGGAAAAAGACAATCAAAACAATATTTTACTTGTATTGCCTCAACTGGCGCTTCAATCGAGATTTTTGCTTTGATCGTCCGATTAGAGGTTATCAACCGCAGGGCTATATGTGGCAAACCGGCGAGTTCATATCATACGTCGTTCCCATATGTAATATATTGTGTAGTAACATTACTACGTAGTAAGTACGTTTCCCAGAAAATCACAGAAATGGCTATTGATGTTCGCAGGTATAGTTATCCTATTGCCATATGTGTTCCTTCACAGTAATAGTAATACTAATACTAATAGTAATAGTTGCCTGCGGCAACTGTAGGCCTACGCGCTATTAGTTACTAGAGCTATACTAGTAGTATTACTAAGTAATAGTTTATACTAATACAGTAAATACTTTACAGTACTAATACAGTATATATATTATTTTTTATTATTACTGTATTAATTACTATTTATTATACTTATAGTACTACTACTACTTGTGTTGTTGTTATTATTCGTTTTATCCTTCTACTACACGAGGTCATGGTCACGATGTAAACCCTCTTTGTATCATTAGCTACAGCCCAGGTGTTTCCTCATAGTAATTTGTTTTGTAGTTTTTTAAGAATTTGTAACACGGCAACAGTGTCTGTGGCTAAATTACTGGGATGGACTCAGACAGGAATCTGGAGAGGCCTGTTTGATGGTGGGCATCCATCTCTGGTGTAAGATTCCTGTTTTCCCAGTAAGGGTGGCAATGTCGATTGACGATGGCTCTGGGTTGGTGTTGGTCTTCACATACCCAGTTCGATCGCGTTCAGTCATCTTCTCCCTGCTTAACTTCGAGCTCTAAGCAATGTAATAAGTTGTTCCACGGTTTCATTGGCGAGGCCACAGTCGCATAGGGGACTATCACCTGCCCCGATCTTAACAGTGGCTTTCAGTTTAAGTGTGTCCAGTTTTAATCCTGTTCAGCTTGGTTTTCTGTTCTGCGATTGGTGAGGCTGCGAACGCTGCTTATGTTTACCTTAGGCTCCAGATGATGAAAGTACCTGCCTGTAACAGAGCTGTCCCATGAACTCTGCCATCGTTCTACCAAGGCTATTCTTGATTCTTCCTTTGGCTTCGCGAGAAAGAAAGCGGGAAGAGTGGTCTACAGATTTATCCATCTCTGCGGGCCTCCGACAGCGCTGCCCGTTTTCGCTTCTTTGTCTGCAAGTTCATTTGCAGCCAGGCCTGCATGTCCTGCTACCCAGCAAATGTCAATCTTGATGTTGTTTTGTGAATAGCTGCTTTACTCTTTCTTGGATGTTTGAGGCTAAGTGTTGTAAAATTGTTGTTTTTGTTGGGCGGGCCGTGACAGTGAGAATGGCGCTTTTGGCAGTCCGAGAAGATTCTGAGTTCTTGATATGGTGTGGAGTGCAGAGTTAGTGATTGCGAAGTCCAATGCGAGGAAATATTGCGTGCAGTTCTCCGTGATTAGCTGCTGCTTTTACACGAGATAGCCTTTCGGATGGCCGATGGCTTGGCTGTTGATGCCATTTGCGTAGACGATGGCTGCCGCCCCACAGGGTCCAGGATTCCGAGTGCTGATCCGTCAGTGAAGGCGATATGGTTTTTTCATCAGTCTCCTTCAGCTGTTCCTCCGATTTTTTTTGCCTTTACAGCTTGTTGGCGGTGCTACTAGTACTACAAGGGTCGAAATATAGATTTTTATTATGTATCCATTCGGGATACCAGGTATTGAAAATCTGGTATCCCCCCAAAAGATCTTGTATCCCGGATTTTTTTGGATAGTTAATTTCAACAATGTTGGTATCCAAAATCTTGAAATATCAATAATAGCATTTGAAAATTATTAATATGTAATTAATTATTATATAAAAATCTTCGTCCCGCGTTCTAATCATTAGTGGGCTGAGTGCATTCGGCGAGCATTTCATTTTACCATAGATATATACAACACAGGTGTTATGTATATATATCTATGATTTTACATAACGCCTTCACAGTACACTGCAGACGTATTGTCTAGACGCATTGTCTGGTTCGCTTGATACATCATATACACATGTAATACACAGGTTCACAATTTGTATGCATTCAACTCGGGCCACGCTTGCGCTTGCAATATCCTATGCCTGCTGTATAAAAACGCTATGTGGCCATAGCTAAATTAGTAACTAACGGGCGCCACTCGCGCTCCTCAGATTCGCCTGCCGTATAAGTTGATAACTCAACAACCACCTATCCCGAATTATGACGATTTTTTTTTTTACTACTTGCCCGCGCGCGATACCAAGCATTGAAATCTCGGTATCCCGCCAAGAATCTGGTAATCCTACCGCGATATCGGGATACGCCTAATTTCCGACCCCTGCACTAGTATTAGTATTAGTTACTATTACTATTTAGTTAGTATTACTATATTATTACTATTAGTATCTTAGTATTACTTGTATAGTAATAGTATAAATTCTTAATCAGACCCGAATACAATCTAGATCTAATATAGATTTGAGGTTCGTATGTATGTTATGTATGTAGTATGTATGTATGTATGTATGTATGTATGTATGCTATTATGTACTTGAAGATGTATCGTATGCTAGTAGTCTTCCCTAATAGGCCAGCAAACTGCCCAAGCGATCTGGGATGCAAGTTTTCACAGGGCCATCTCTTATACCCGGCGATGTTCCTAGCTGAAAAAAACTGCAGAAACCGTTCAAACTCACCGAAAATATCTGTGGAAACACCCCTCAATTCAGTGAATCTTCACACAAATGTCAGCAACTGACTGTAGCAGTGCCTTGCCCACAACAGAGAAAATCGATCACTCATTTCATCAGCTGTTGGTATTGCTGAAACCAAACGGCACCGACTAAAACAGCACAGCCAGTTCCAGAGCGTTACGACTGCTCCATTTTCACAGGTTTGAAATGAGAAGCGCAACCCATATCTGTTACGCTGCCATACGTGCATGCCAGTACGTGGGAGCTCAACAGTCGAGACTCGCGAATCTTTACCATATTGCCACCAGAGAATACCACGAAAACACATTGTTTATCAAAGAGGTTTTCAAATGAAAAGTGCAACCCATTCGTACATGCTGTATATAATAACTTTTTGTCATTTACACCATATTACTATTATGGTTCCACCAGGGTTCTAATGTTGGTTGTGCTGTCATATAAATGTCATACCGTAACAGTTTATTCCTATGCTTATTATCTTATTACACTGATTTCTAAATATTCATATTGTGTGCAATGTTATTGTCGATTCTTACCCAATGTTCCTATTGTGCCCGCCATTATTAAGTATATGAATTTAGTAGCCACGATTTTACCCAGCGCAGCGGGTACCCGCAGCTAGTATGTGAATATTATGGTACTATTACTGTCTGCATGACATGTGATAGGGATACGCCGATACAGCAGCTAATGCATGCAGCTACAGTACAGTGCCGAAACAATACGAGCACGAGTAGTCGAGTATGATTTACGGATAGATCATCTAATGGGCTATATCGATGGGGATCACGTCCATAGATAGATCATCTAATGGGCTATATCGATGGGCTATATTGATGGGGATCACGTCTAGATATAGATCATCTAATGGGCTATATCGATGGGGATCACGTCTAGATATAGATCATCTAATGGGCTATATCGATGGGGATCACGTCCAGAGATAGATCATCTAATGGGCTATATCGATGGGCTATATCGATGGGCTATATCGATGGGCTATATCGATGGGCTATATCGATGGGCTATATCGATGGGGATCACGTCTAGATATATTCTATCTTCTCTATGATTTATGTCATCATGTCGTATGCATCGATCAGTGACAATGATTGATATCATATGGCATCGGTATATATAGTCAATTAGTCATCGCCATTGCATTCGCAGGGCCATAGCCTGCTGGGGGGGGGGGCAAGGGAGCAGCTGCCCCCCTAAATTTTGGAGGGGAAAAAAATAAATTTAAAAGAGAATTGTTGTAGTCAGAATGAAGATCGACTGTACATGTACTCAAAGGTGCCTCAAATACCTACCATCTCCTGCGATCTACATTTTCAAAGTTTTCTGTGGGAGGGCCCCCACACCCCCCTACCTGTTTCTCACCCCCTCCTTGAAATCCTGGATCTGCCACTACCCCCCCCCCACTAGGAATTTGCTCAGCTTACGGCCCTGCATCACGATAATTTCGTTTAGCATGCTTCGCGTTGTGTCATCTTCGAACTTAAAGGATTTGTTCAAGCTAAGCATTTTGTTTCTGTCATTATTGAAATTCTCTTGCTTCTTCAATCATTGTGATTCCCTATCGTTCCCTATCATCCCCTATATGCCAAATCTGTGATGCCCTATCAATATTTTATATTTCCGTTATGAATTTATGTATAGGTTTGACATCTATAGAAAGATTCCAAAGGATTTGACACAGGCTACACTTACAGGAGGCTACATATCTGTATGCTGCGTCCTCTTCATTGCATTCCTGTTTGTCTCAGAGTTGTACTTCTTTCTTAAAGCAGATGTGTGAGTATTTGTGTGATGGATATTATAAAGAAAATGGATAGAGTATAAACTCCATAACAGGCAGAACTAAGATTAAACAAAATCCAACCCATAATCCTAATTCCTAACTGTATCTATAACTTCTAAACAAAAATTAACTTTGACTATATTACCCTATATATAAACCCTAGCTCTAACCTAGGCCATAACTCTTACTCTAATCTAACCATTATCTATAACTGCTATTATTGACTTTTTACACTAATCGATGAAACGTTTACCGTGTAGATCTGCATAAATTTGTGTTTATGCCCATAGATTGTCTAGATAGAATAGTAGTGTATATATACAAACTTAATTTAGCCATTATTGTTTGAACATCATTTATGTATATAAGCATAGTACCAGCATGCAACTGATCAGTTGAATATTATTTTTGCAGACAGAGTGAACTTTTTGTCGACAATACTGATGTAAATGAAAAGATTAAAGTGCGGTTGAATATTACTCTACCAAATTTGAATTGTGAAGGTATGTATACGAAGTTGAGCAATATGCCGCGTGTGAATTCTAGCAAGTGCTGGATGTTTAGATATGCAGGGCTTGAAACTAACGCTCGCCCGCTCGCCCGAGGCTAGTAGAAATCAGTAAGGGCTAGTAGAATGTCTGGTCTGACCAGCCCTGTTGGCGAGTGGAAATGCCTACCAGATAACATATTACTAGTACTTTTTCAGCAATTACTAACCCGACCGAACTACTACTAGTAATAAGTAATATAAAATTTGCGTGTGCAAACATAATAAAATTGCAAAACCTAAACTTAAAACAGTCACAGTACCTCAGACAATAAAATCGGTCCAACCACCATGCTGCTCTATTCGCAAGCTCATGCCAATCCCCTCACAGTGTATATATACGCAAGACGTTTATGTTCTACTTTCTGTTTACGTTCGTGGAACCGTTAGTTAACTTAGTTTACGTTTCCACGAGATTGCTCTTGTGGCAGAATAAGCTTCGGCAGAAAAACTTAGTAAACTTCGCCTGCCTCGCAGTTACCTTGAACGGCGTGCATACAGCCCTGGGCGAACAAACTGCTGCCGCCCAGTTTTAATCGAACGGCTGGCTATAGTAACTAGAGCTACGCTCTATGTGATTATTAATGTGATTGATTAGTACGTCGTCATTGTTTGTATATAGGTGAACAATTTCTATGTACAGTCAATAGAGGCATATGATTTGCGCATGTATGTATTATAGTCTATAAAACCGAGCTTAGGGCTTTCGCTGCAGCTTGCCGCGCTCTGTTATATGAAGCCGCTGACGGCATAATAATAATACAATTTCATAATAAAACTTATACATCACAGGTAGAAGTAGACGGGTTTGACACTTTTTATTGATAATTTCATTTGAACTTGCAAAGAGAGCCAGCTGAATGCAGCTCAAGCTGTTTCAATTGTATCGCTGGTAAAATTAACGTTCAACAACGTCCTGAACGGCTAGGATTTACGGCTATACGGCAATCAATATCGCGACGGAGCAGCAGTTGGTGGGGGTTTGGCTTGTTCAATTAGATATGTGATTATTACGTCGTCATGTTTGTAGATTATAGGTTGAACATTTCTTATTTACCATGAATAGAGGCGTATTATTCCGCATATATTTATTATAAGAACGCCAGCTTATGTACTCCGCTGCAGGCGCGTCGCTCGTTACCACTGAAGCCACTGATCGCCATAATAAAATACAATTCATAATAAACTTATCAACACAACAGTGTGAGAAGTAGCAACGCGCTGTTGGACCACTTTTATAGATATTTTCGTTTGAGACTTGCCAGAAGAACAGCAGCTCAATATGCAGCATGAGGCTGGTTTCATTGTATTCCCGGTAAAATTATTCGAGTGGTCGCATGGCAGGCTATGCATCTTCGTTGCGCCTGCGACCTGCATCGGTGCGCGATCGGACGCCGATACGCCATGCTGCAGCGCTGCATACTGTCGTAGGACGTTCCGCGATCGCCGTGTCGCCTTGGCCGCGAACTGCGGCGCGAGATCCTGCGCTGTATAGGCGCTTCGGGATTCAACGACCTCCTTTCGGCAACGCTTCTCTAGTATCCCGTCTCATCTGGATATATATACATATATATACTTATATATATATACAATACATCAGACTATTTATAAGAGCAGACAATAATTCCTTAAGTTATAGTAACGATTAAGAACTATTAGTCAGTCTACGGAATATGAAAGTTCATGTTAATTGAACCGTTTGTGATTATCTCTACTACTCTAGTAATTCTCTATAGAAGTACAGAGTTTAGTTAGTAGTTAGTACAAGTACAGTATAGAGTTATAAGTAGAGTTATCCTGTTTGTGTTAAGTTTGAGATTTGTATAGGTTGTATTACTTGGTTGACTGAATATAATTAAGCGTGTTATGCTAGTGTATAGGATAAACATCGTATTAGTAATAGGACTTAGAAATAACCAAGTTACAGGAATGTAGTTTAAAGAGGTTATTTTCAATAACCAGTACCTGACAAAACCATGACTACTATTCCATGGTTAATTATAGAGGACAGGAACTGGATTGTATATTAACCAGGGTGATTCCAAACTTCCGTATAAGTAAGATTTGAGTTTCTAATTTGATATTTAAGGCAACGCGTCAAATTGAAATAATCTTCGTTTAAAAGGGGAGGGATGTGTAGTGTTTACCCTGAGGTCTAGATGAG